AATACAACCAAGTGAAGAAGAGCACTGTATGCTATTAGGAAAAGCCCCAATCAGAGTTGACAACAAACACTACGTACCTGATGATGTTGGTCGGCGTGGTACTTCTTATTCCACGAGCATGCAGCGTCCTCGCCAGGAAGTTGCATGTTACAAATTTGCTGAGTCAAGTCGTCTCTCTGGGGTCCTGTGCCAGAGGGATCTTGACACTTGCAATTTCTGCCTGCGAATGCACTGGTCAATCGTCAGATTAGTGCTCTTGAATATATGCAACGATATGCAAGGTTCTTGGAAAGAGTTGCTTACGCAGTGATGAAGATAGCAAGGCAGGCAAAAGCTCTCATTTTGGTTTGATTGAGATGGAAAGTCTGTAAGAAATGAGCTAAGGGTGATGATGAGGTTGCGATGTTTGGTTGATTGGCAGAGGCGTATGTGACTTCTTATGCAGCTCCGAATGGCACAGTCATGTGATCCATTGCTCGCCCGCTGAGTCCATCAGTCGTATTGACTTGGAATTCATTTCCTAAAAAGATCTATTTGCGAGATGATACGACTTGCATGTCATTGCGCGACATGAAGGAGCTCGACATGGACGGAGCGGTATAGATCACCAATCACTGGATGATCAACTCGTGTTGAAAAGCAACCTCTCACACTAGTCGTGACTATTGGAAGGATTATGGAGTCCTAACAGCTCGAAACTCAGCTTTACGAGGCAGGAGGTCTGGAGGATTGAGTGTCACATCACGGGTCAGCTGTCCTCTCATGTCGGCGTTTCCATTCGTACCTAACAAGGCACGAGATTGGAGTGATAAGGTTCCAACTAGCCGAGGGCTTCTATTGAGGTTTCCATCAAGGTGTTACGGGGTTTTATAGCCGATTTGAGCGGCTGACTCAGGATCGAAAGCTTACCACGCGTTTGGAACCAGCTACTTCGTGCTGTTGACCTTGGCGGTCGCTCTAGAAAGGGTATCGACCTGTTTCATGGTACACGTGCCAAACAAGCTCAAGTCGATCAATCCTCAAACCTCGTATTGGAAACGTTCAGACTGGGGTGTGGGGAATTCAGCCTAGCCGATCAAATACCCTTTTGTATAACGACTGCGAGCTATCTCCGCATTAATGCATCGCCCATCATCCTTCGCTCGAAACCTTTTGCAATAGGGGCAGAAGAAATCAATTCCTCAAGTGGATTACCGGTATTCTGACATGCTACAGAGGGGTTGACAAACTGTTGTGGTCTTGTCATTGGCTAGTCGATCTGTAAAACCTTGCAACAAGACAGGATCTAATCAGAGCACACAGTACAACAGGACGAGTGATACGAGAAACGACGCAGGAGTACTATCATCTCCTCGCACTTCTATCGTTTTTCGGAAAGATGTGCCTCTCGATGCAGGTAGCGCTCTAACGAGTCAATGTACACATTTCAATCAATCCACGCTGTCAGCTGGTCTTGAGACGCAGATACAGACGATCGCGGAGAAAACGCAAAGACCAGATGCCGAAAAAAGTTATATAACCTGAGCAAGTCCACTCAGCACTCTCTCATAACCACTGCAACATCATTCCAACCACAGTCCCAACAATTCACATTTCCTCAATCCCGATCATGAAGTCCATCTCCATCTTCTTCGCTCTCTTTGCCACCACGGTACTTGCGGGCCACAACTGCAAATGTCAAGATCCCTCGGGCACAGGACCTCAATACAATGATCTGACCGAAAGGGTCTGCAAGCTGCAGATGAGTGGTCAAAACAAGGCGTGTCAGCTCAACAAGGTCTATCATGCCGATCAACATCATCAGGTGAGAAAATGTGACCCCAAAGAATGTCAAACTAAGCAGAGCTGACTCACTGTGTGCAAAGTGTACCTCTTCATTTGGATGCCTGAACAGTGGACAGTTTGACGAGTATTGCAGGGGTTATGGTGCACCGGGTGCTTATTGCTGGGATTGATTGGAGGGAAACGACGATGAGAAGGGATCGAGAAAGTGAGACAGCAAGATCAAGGAATGGGCGATAGCTTAGCTGGTTGTAGTAGAACGTTTCGTGGTTCTTATTCCGTTTTCTCGACTTTACCATTGCATACGATCCTTCTGCTGACATGACGCTGACTTTTGTGCCCTTTGGGCGGTTGTGGTAAGGACTGCAACAAAAGTAATAGCTTGCAACATCTAAGTGTTGGAAGAAGTGTTGTTGGGTGTCACAAGTCGACTATCTACAGCAATCAAACTTCCGCTTTCAACTCTTTGAATCAAAAAAGCAGATTCTCGTCGGAAGCTTGCGCGGAACCGTTGGCAAATGCTTTGCAGAAGACTGAGCACATCTTTGTTGCCTCATAGACTTGCGGTCTTGCTTTTTACCTCCAGCCTATGACTCAGTCATAATCGATCTATCTTGTGATGGGTGTTCTCCACTGTTTTTCAACAGATTGCAGGTTAATACTCGCTATCTAGTATACAGGTATGTCTGCTTCCAAACAGGAGGAGACAAGAAGCACCTCCTTGTGATCAGGACTTGTCCGGGGAAGGATCTTGTTCTCTTGCAACCGGAACCAGTCGCGTACCTGAAACGCCCACATGTCTACAATTCTATAATCTCTCTTCCTATCGTCTTCCGTAGGATAGAAGGATATGTTAAGGCGACGATAACGTCACATTGTGCAGATGATGTGGTTGTAGATTACAGCGCAGGCCGATTGTTGTTCACTGCCTGTTCGGTACAGATGGCGCATCGTGGCGAGTTGTAAGCCTTATGTTGCGACCTTTTGGGGGTTTCTCTAAGGTAATGGAAGCAGTCCTAGGCCTGGATATCCTCTGCAGATATAAGCAAAATTCTTGTCCTAGGATAGAGATCGCTTGCCTAGCAATCTTGATGTCCATGGATGGAATTCCCAATCTCAGAAAGGAGATATTTATAACTACTTGTCTGCTTGTAGAAGGTTTACCATAAGATTATACTAGAACTATTCGCATTTACCACCCCGAGCCAAGATCATGTCCCCTCCTTGATATTTCTGCTGTTTCTGACTCCTTCTATGCTCTGCTAAGGCCCGCCGCCCGACTAATGCCGCTGTCGCTGTAGATTCGAGCATATCCAGCCTTATGGCGAGTTACGGGACCACGAAAAGATAACGAGAATATTGGACTTTGAACATGGCCTAGTTAACCCCAAGATTTAGAGGATACGGCACCAAGCTTAGGGTCAAAGGTTGTCAAAGCCTTGGTTCGTGTGACAAACACGTAGCATTTGAGGAAACAAAATGTTGATTAAGGATTGTATATCGAAGAGACAAGAAATGTATGTTCATCCTGCAGAAGGATACCTGAACTCAACATCACTGATACCGCTCTGCTTTACTTCTTCAGGCGTACAGATACTAACCTGCACAGTCGACATCTCCGCTTCAACACCGTCGTAGATCTAATCTTGCGTGGTTCCAATGTCAGATGCATTGAGCTCACCCGAGATAGTAGGACTGGATGGTTTGAGTGCGTGCTTGATAGTGTAGAACTTCCAGTATTCAATTCCATAGTCTTCCCCTGTCGTATCGCCTTGTGCTTCTTTGACTTGAAGATGCTTCAAAAAGAACGTGTTGGTAGATGCTTGAGCTTCTGCCACAAGGGCGGAATCGTGTGGTGGATCGATTTGCTCAAAACTTGACTGGTAGTTGGCGACTATACATGCCCGCGCCGCCTGCAACTTCATCTCAGGCCGCAGTCGCGCTAGATGTTCATAGATGGTACGATAAGCGGGTTGCGGGAACCATATACAATAGGGCAACTCATCCAGGGGAGCTGTAGGCGTGATTCGTGATAAATCGTTCGTCATGATGAAGCTGGCATTGATTGCCCGTCGTATGCGCCAGTGATCTATCTCTGCAGCTGGTTGAAGTGACCAGAACTTGGCAAACAACGGATCATGATAGATGCCTCGGACTAAGCACGCAAGCTCGCCTTTGATCCTTTGTTGGCACCGAAGGATACCATATGCAGTATGGAAATTCTTCTGGGTCTTTCATGTCAGGGATCTCTCTGCTATACATGATAGCTTGAGCGTTGAGTGCGCGAGTGAAGCGAGGCGTAAGACCTCGAAGCTCATGGCCAAAGCCTGCATTTCGACGAATACCCGCGATGACACAGAGCTGAACAAGCTCCAGTCCAAGGAAATCAGGTATGCGAACACCGTTGATGGCCTCCTGTACCTGTCGCAGATGGTAATGGAAGTCTTGCAAGGCAGATTGTCGCGGATGAGCCATGGCGTTGAGTTCGAAGTTTGGGTCAGCGAATAATTCGAACAGCGAGACGTGTTGACTTGGTTCACAACTCCCTGTTGGTTTTCTGGAATATCACATGATCCCTAACACTCGCTTGCCTCACAGCCATGGCTAGGTGTGGATCTTTTGGGTTGCTCTTTTAATTTCTCATCTCACTTCCGTGCCTGAATATCAATATGCAGGAGAATCGGGGTCTCGACCGGGGAGGAATGATGCAAAATGAATAGAAGCCAGTACTGGGGAAGACAAACTATGTCTATAGAACATTAGCCATCCTAAAACCTGTTTTCTTAGATACAAGGAGATCAATGCACCAGATTAACCAACACGAACAAGCCGTCGCATACCAAACTTTCCATGCCAAGCCGCTTGTGGCGCAACTTTTATTGTTGCCTGGAGCGCTCTGATCGCGGTGTCCACTTTCGGTATGCGGTCGTTCTTGTCAATGATGTTTAGCACGGGGTTCAACGAAGGAGCCTGATGAATGCCACGAACTGATTGAACGAGCATGGTCTGGGGCATCTGGGTGCAATCCGAGATGCGCGGTCGCTCTCAGTAGTCAATCTCTCTTGTGTACTGACACTCGTTCCTACGCTCCACGGATGTCGTGAGCAACGACGACCGAGATGAATAGACCTTCGTGTTTAACCAAAGCGCTCTGGAAATTCTCTGCAAGCGTTTCTCAGAAGAACATTCGAAGGTCGAGTAGAAAGCGATGGTCCTCATACCATAGGCAAGGCCAAGCATAGCATGTCTCTCAATACAAATGCCTGCTCAATCTTCATAGTCTCGCCAAACACTTGATACATACCCTTGACATATTCCAGAATCTCGGGCGTGGTTGTCGAGCAAGAACCAGCCACAAACAATGGCCACAAGACTCCATAACCGCCTAGGGTGCGCATGACGGGCAGTCTGCTTGCAAACACTTCGGGAACAAGATGGCGATTTGCCAGCGACGCATGCGTCCATTGATGAGTGCAAGTTTTGTTATCGACTTGTGTAGCTTTGTCCGTCCCCTGTCTGGCAGATAAGTCGCCCCCAAGTACTTGTGATCGTAAGAATGGCGGTATACTGGCCAGAATGAGCAGTTGATTCTCAGATATTATGCTGTGACAGCGATCCTTGATCTCTGCGTACAGCGATGGGGCTCTATCGTTTGTGTCTATGTGATGCGCTGCCTTGAGTAACATCTCCTGAAGCAGAATCCTCGACGAGAAAAAGGAAGCCCAGATATAGCTCGAACCTGGATCTGCGTACTGGATCTCGAAGTTCAGAGCGCCACACTCAACACGCTTTTTGTCCAAGACAGTGGCAGGCGCAGCGATCTCAGTTCTCCAGTACATTGGCAGATCGACAAGTGAAGCAACCATCTCCATTTCTAGTTCAGTAGCACAAGCCATGATCTCTTGAGGTGTGCTGAACATATGATGATGGAAGGCATGGTTAAAGTCCGCGAATCGGAGACTGACTTGTTGGTATCGGGCCGCTGGACTGTCATGCTCGTACAGAAATTTGTGTATCCGAGGCTGCAACTCGTGGATGTACGGTGGTGTGGGCAGATCTTTGAGCAAGCAGGTAACATTGATGAAAGCAATGACATGCATGGTAAGTAGTCGGCCATCCGCGTGCTTGACACCGTCATGACCGCGAAGACGAAGCAGAGTAGAAGCACCATTGATGTGTTGCACCCACGCCTCGAGACTGCGATGCACACCACCAGTCAAGGTCTCATAACTCGTCAGCACAAGTATCGCAAGCAGAGTTTCGTCTTGGATCGCTGTTTTGGTGTCTCTCAAGGCAGCATTGACAAGACTCAGTGCTTGCACGTATCGATGTCGTGCAGAGTGCAACAACTGTGTATTCGAATGATACTTGGAAAGACCAGCAGTGCTGAGAGCCTTGACACTTGCGAAAAGATGCTCGTTGCCGATTTCAGAAAGACAAGAGTGATACTTGGCATTGTTAACAACGTAGTTATGGAAGAAGAAAGCCAGACACTGGTCTTCGTTGCCGGCAGAGGATAAGATGTGATTACCGACCGATCCGTACAAGTCGACTGACTGAGATGATGCGAACAATGCAGGCGATATGCATGACAGCAAAGAAGGCGATGGAGCTTTGACGACAGATTGTTGAGCAGTTTCACGGCAGGCACGTGTTTTAAGTATGATCTCGGAACTCTGATCGCAGATCCTCAACTCATGTTGTGCAGGATAGCCAGGACAAACACGATGCGCATTCTGACATCGACTACATCCTCCAGGACGAAGATCGCACTGCTCTGGTCAGCGACCGAGGTCTTTTGTGAGATGAGGACGAGATGAACCCTTNTTGTGCCGTAGACGACATTCGCGACATCCTTGCGAGGGTTTCCCGCGGTACACCATTCTGCGACAAGGCAATGACGATAGTTAAGGTGCTTGGTCTACGCCTCCAACGCATTCGGATGTCGCGCAATAATGCTCACATGGCAAAAGTTGAGGAGTTGATGTTGGGAAAGGACAGGATGATAAGAGGGGCCGAAGGATTCTGACACGCATTGCTTACGCACACTAGGCCGAATGCGAGAATGGCGCGCTCTTTTCCTCTCTATGATAAGACGAATAATCGCAGCCATTGCAACACGAAGAGATCCAGATCAGAAAATCAAAAGATTATGATTGACAAATTACAGAAACAAGAACAAGAACAAAAAGCAAACTCCATACAAAGTCCAAGACCTTGAACCCACCATCCCACAAAAACTATACGAAATGACCTACCATTACAGTCAAAAGCGCCGTTTGACCGATTCCATCTCAAGATACATACACACTCCATCAATTCATCTTGTTCCATCATCGCCCTCGTAGTACATACTCTTACATCATCAGAGCACCAAAGAGAGCAGCAGCGCCTCCAACAAACATGCCAGGAGTCACGAGCGAAGCAGCGCCAGTGAAGATGGCCATGCTGGGAGAGCTGGTGCCAGTGACAGAGGAAGCGGTCTTGGTCGAGTTCTGGCAAACCCCGTTGCTGCAGGAGACGACGACGTAGGCGTTTGTGCCAGGGGCGTTGCCAGCAGGGGTGTTGGAGCCGGGCATGTTGCCACCAGGTGCTTGAGTGCCGACAACAACATTGCCGTTGGCGGTAGATGCCATTGTGCCGACGGTAGGGCAGCTGGTGGTGGTTGTGTAGACAGTGCCACCGCTGGTGTAGATGATGACCGAAACAACAGGCAAGTTCGAGCCAGATCCGTTGGAGCCAGAGTTGGCACCATTTCCGTTCTGACCAACGACAACAACGTTCGAGTTGGAGCCAGAGCCAGATCCGTTGGAGAGGTAACCTGAACCGGAACCAGAGTTGGAGCCAGAGCCGTTTGCGGCCATGAGAGCAGAAGCCTGGGCAGCGGGGCAAACAGTAGTGTAAGCGACAATGACATCGGTCGTGGCTGATGCTCCGTTTCTGAGAGGGCAGTTGGTGACGGTGGGAGCGCAAGAGTAGATAGTCTGAACAGACGTGCTGTAGAGAGTGGCGGTCACGAGGCCAGATGCAGCGGCTCCATTGAGGGTTGCGGTGCTGAGGTAGGTGGTTTTCTCAGAAGCAGGGCAGTCGGTGACTGTGGAAGGGCAGGCAGTGACGGTGAAGACGGTGGTGAAAGGTTGACCACCAGCAGCTGAGCCCGAGCCAGGAGCTCCAGTGACTGCGGCACCTCCACCAACAACTGAAGATGCGTCAATTACGTTTCCAGTAGAGGCAGGAGAGCCAGAAGTTGCGACAACACCAGGGCCACAAGCGACACCCGATCTGGAATCAACAACACTGGATTCGAAGAGGGCAAAGTCAATACCGGGAGCAGCTTGGCCCGAAGCAAGATCAACACAGCGGTAGAATGTGCAGAGACCGGTAGCGGTATCGAATGCGGTTCCCTTGCAAGTGACGTCTGCAGCACAGTCGGCTACACAGCCGTCGAAAGTCTGGCCTTGTCTCTTGGCCAAGGTGGCTCCAATGTCAAGGGTGACTCCAAGGTATGTCTTGTTGTACTCAAGGCCGAAGGTGACACCATCAACAGTAAGCTGAGTTGGGAGAGCAGATGATGCCGAGTTTGTTGCAGAAGCCGATGACGAAGCGGAGCCAGTAGCACTACCAGAAGGGGTAGTAAGACCGCTCAGGACGCTGGAAGGAAGGTTGCCGAGAATGCTCGAGATGACACCCGATGGGAGGCCAGTGAGGATAGAGGTGGGGTTGAGAGTCGAAGCACCCGAAGGCAAGTCGCTGGAGGGAAGACCACTCAGGATGCTGGAGATGACACCCGAGGGAAGCTCGGTCAAGATGCCAGTGGGGAGAGTGGTCGGGGTAGGGGTAGGCAGGCCGGTCAAGACGCTGGAAGGAAGGTTGCTGAGAATGCTCGAAATGACACCCGAGGGAAGACCGGTGAGGATAGAGGTGGGGTTCATGGTCGAGAAACCTGAAGGGAGGTCGCTTGTAGGCAAGCCGCTCAAGATGCTCGAAACGACACCTGAAGGCAGCTCGGTCAAGATACCGGTGGGGAGCGGTACAGTCGAGAAAGGGATTCCAGGAAGTCTGGTAGTGCTGCCAGCGCCGAGAACACCTGACAAAACACTAGAAGGCAGATCGGAGGTGAGAGGAAGACCGGTGGGGAGACCACCAACGATGCTTGAAACAACGCTGGTGGGAAGGTCTGATAGGATGCTAGAAATCTCTCCGGGAAGGTTGGTGGGAATGGCACCGGAAAGGTCGGAAGTCAAGGTGTTGATGATGCCAGAAATGACACTGGAGGGAATGACTCCGGAGGGCAGATCGCTAGCAATGACGGATGCAATGCTGGAAGCCACAGAGGCGGCAATAGAGGTGGCGTCTCCAGCGACGGATGTAGCAAGCGAGGCAACAGAGGAGATGTCCGAGGCCAGAGTAGAGGTGAGGCCATCGACTACGCTCGTAGCGACGGAGGCAGCGGACGAGATGTCCGAGGCGAGAGTGGAAGTAAGACCATCAGCCACGCTTGTAGCGATGGAGGCAGCGGACGAGATGTCCGAGGCGAGAGTGGAAGTAAGACCGTCAGCCACGCTCGTAGCGACGGAGGCAGCGGACGAGATGTCCGAGGCGAGAGTAGAGGTGAGCCCATCGGCCACACTCGTAGCGACAGAGGCGGCAGAAGAGACGTCAGTTTGGGCGGCCGAAACGATGGTGGACACAAGACTGATTCCATCACTGACGACAGTGGTAACCACACCACCAAGAGTAGTGGTGACTCCGTTGATGACACTGGTGACAGGAACACTGACAGGGACACTGACAGAGACACCAGGAACGCCAATCGCATTCGCAGCACCCATAAAGTGCACGCCGGCAGCCCCAAGAGCGACCAATCTGTAGGAAACCATGATTAAAGATTGAAAGAAGAGCTAAAAGAGTGTCAGTCCCAGGTGTGTAGGGAGTGTTTGAATGAATGACTGAATGAATGACTGGCTGATGATGAACAAGATAGAAGTGCGGTGAAGGGAGTATACTTATACCATTCTTCTGAACAGAGACAAGTCCTATATCCAGATCACATATTCCAATCACAGATGTTGATATGACAGGAGATGAACGGACATGAGCAAAGGAGGCTCAGAATCTGTTGCGACTCACCCGCTCAGCAACGACTATGCAATTTCCAGAGATTTCCGTTGATGAGGGTGGTCGTTGGGTGTTTGCTGCAGCACCGTACAGTATTGCACCTTCAAGGAGAACAGAGGAGAGCATGACGGAGAGTGGATCGGACAGAGCCAGACTGTTCGTTCGCAGGAGCCGTTGGTGCACAGGTAGAGATTGTTTACGATTGCTATGCGATAAGCAAGATGTTTGGTGTTCGGCGGGATCCAAACTTGGTTCGTGTAATCCGCGAACATGTCCGGTTTGTTTGGATATCTCCTGCATGTAGGGCAACGAGCTCGGTGAGGATTGCAGCGGGTCCTGCAGCGGGTGTTGCGACGGGAAGGATTCTTGGTCCCTGAGGGAGTCGACTTTGTGCCACGACCGAAGAGATCCGAGATGTTGATGCTCCTGCATACCGTTGTCTATGACGCCTCTGGAGACATGTCCTTGCTCTAGATGCAGCGGCAAGCACGCCTTGATGGGCAAGTGGAGATTAAACAGATCATTCTTGATACACGACGATAGCAAATGCTTGTGTTTACAAGATCCGTCTTGTTGTGTTGAAGAACAGGCAGTTGTGGAGGGGAGAACTCGAAAGAAGGATCAGGTCCAGGGGCCGTCGCCGTTGAGATACAGCGCCACTCCGCGACTTGGCATGGAGAACGACGACTCCCGGAGATAGACCGATGCGTTGACGGTGACACCCTGATCTCGGTGATTCTGTTCGATGCTACTCGACACGGACATGTTCAGTCACCCGTCATGGACCATTAGAACAGGCTGGATTCAGATGTTGATTGTTTAGTCGAGTTTGGGTAGTGGGGATTGCAATGTCGAGATGTAGAGAGGATGGCAGCAAGACCTAGGATGATGGTTGACGCCGACCTAGATCGGTCCTCACAAATCGAACACGAAAGAGGGAAAGAAACCAGCAATGTTCGGTGACGGTATGCTTGCATAAGATATCAGATATCAGATATCAACTGTCTGGTTTGAGAAGCTACGGCACCAGCACGCAGCCCTGGCGTTGTTCAGATTGATCAGTGATGTTCGAGCAAGAGATGAAGTTGTCCGTGACAGAACCTTGATGTTCTGAAACCCCGCAGGCGAAAAAAGCTTGACTGCTCCACATTTTGGCAGCCAAAGACAAGAAAGTTGTGGCCGCCAGTCGCGCCTTCCTCCAAGCAACAAACATCAACAAGAACGAGATGGGCAAGAGAAAGCGCAACACGCAGGCAGCAGCGGCAGCAGCAGCAGCAGCCCCCAGAAGCTGCAAAAGGCGTCCGATCTGCCAACGCCCAACGACAGCGATGAAGGCCCCGTCGAGCGCGTGTCGCACATCAGCGCCGTCACGTCGGCCGAAGAACTCGAAGTGACGGTCGACACGCTGCGCACCCTCGCCCACTACCCGGCGCTGATCAAGGCCAAGGCGTGCAAGGACCTGCGCGCCGCCGTCTACGACTTCCGCCAGGCGTGCAACACGGGCGTCAACTCGGCCGCCGAGGGCACCAACCTGACCGCCCGCATCTCGGGCGCCCTCACCGATGCCAAATACACCGACGCGCTCATCCTCCTCGCCGAGATGCGCATCCGCGGCGAGACGCCAAAGCTCGGCGCCCTCTGCCGCTGGGTGCGCGACCTCGACGTCGTCAGTGGCCTGGCCATGCAGCCCGAGGGCGTCAGCAAGGTCGCCGTGCCTCGCTCACCCAAAGACAAGGAGCTGCTGCGTGTCCTCGACGCCGTCCTAAGAGTCACCGGCCCCACCGACACAAACACCAGGGACGCCCTCGACTCGGCCGACCCCATCGCGCTCCAGCAAGTCTGGAACCTCCGAGACAAGACGCCCCTCCACACACGCCGCAGCGTCGAGGACAAGACCATCTTCGCCAACTGCCCGCAAGACCTCCGCAGCCGCTTCCGCACCATCGACACGACAGCCGGCCCCAACCGCAAGCCTCCGAACCTCCACCCCGCCGTCCTCTACGCCTCTCGAGACGATGCCATCCTGCTCGGCCATGCGCCCAAGACGACCGTCTCCAAGCACCCCGTCGTGCCCAACCTCCGCCTGATCAAGGACGTCCTCACCCCCGCCGAGTGCACCAGCATCATCGCCGCCGCAGAGACCATCGAGTTCATCCCCGACGCCCCAATCCGCGACGACGGACAAGAGACGAGCATTCTGGCACACAACTTCTACTGGATCGCCGACCAGGCCTTCCACGACAAGCTCTGGGAGCGAGTGCGCCCCTACGTGCCAGAAGAGTCGCAGGGTCGCAAGGTGCGCGGCATCAACCGCAGATTCAGAGTCTACCGCTACGTGCCGGGCGCAGAGTACCGCTGCCACATTGACGGCGCCTGGCCTCCCTCGGGCATCGACCCCGTCACCGACAAGTACCAGTACGACTCGTCGCCCGCCGATGCTCGTCAGTCTTCGCTCTACACCTTCCTCATCTACCTCAACGACGAGTTTGAAGGCGGCGAGACGTCCTTCTTCATCCCCAGCGTCCGCGAGGGCGTCATGAACGCCTACCCAGTCAAGCCCATCATGGGGAGCGTCGCCGTCTTCCCTCACGGAGAGGCACAAGGCGCCCTCTTGCACGAAGGCACTGGTGTGACAAAGGGTGCCAAGTACATCATCCGTACCGACGTCGAGTACGATGTTGTTCCTTCTACAAATTGATCATTTGTCTTTTAGGACCAGCGCTCTGGATGGGACCGGCGTTGGTATATCCGTCTATGTATGACCGAATTGATACGACATCTATGTAGGACGTTCTGAATACATAGACTGTCCTCCAACATCTTCAGCCTACTCGTTCGCTTCCACAGTCGCGTGTCCGCCGACTTCTATCTCGCTCAGGATCTGCGTGCCGACCACCTTGCCAGACGCATCGAGAAAGATGGCAGCAATGGCTTGCACACCATGAATCGGCTCATACTTGTACTGCTTTCTCTCCACCTCTTTGCCATTCCTTTGCACTCTGTCCTCGTGCCCGGTAAAAGTCATGTCCTTGGCGTACGACCCAACGACTCTGGTGCCAGAAACGCGACCGTCATTATCGAGATCTTGTTCGACGATATCGCCGTTCTGCTCGAGAATGCGGTTCGTGTGCGAGTTTCCGGAAAAGTCGTTGATGGAGTAGAGGATATTGTCGTCGATGGTGAAGGAGCGCTTGACTGCTGCCGAGCCAGAGCTGGAATTGTCGTCGGAGAGCAGTCCATCCACCGCATCGCCGGTCTGGTTGAGGATGTTGCCAACACCATTGCCCAGCGTCGCAATCACTGGATTCAAGTCCAACGATCCCAATACATCGTCTACCATGGCTACCAAATTCTCAAGCCGAGCTTCTAGCAGTACTCTTGCTTTGACGTCTTGGATGAGCAGATGCACCGACTCGATGCTCAAGTCTACTCCAGCATTGAATTGCAGCAGTTCCAACACTTGGAGGTCCAGGTTCACTTTTGCAGTCAGGTTGTCGACTTCAATGTCGATTTCCTTGACGCTGACGCTGGCATTGAGAAACACGTCCGGGTCGGGGTATTGGGAAGAGGCATTTTGACGTGTGTTTGCGGTCGAATAGATGGCCGAATCGTCGTCGCCGCTGAGGGTGAGGTTGTAGCCTACGTAGCCGGCATCTGAGGAGGACGAGGAAGACGAAGCGGCGGAGGCTGTGCAGCTCAAGGCAAAAGCCAGAACACAACTGCGGGCGAGCGACAGCATTGTGTGTGTCTTGGACGTAGACGTCGAGGTTTGAGGATGGGATGCGGACGTGAAGGACAACGAGAAGGATGACAATCCTACGAGCAAAAGATCAGGATACACGGCACTTGTACATTGACTCCACTGCCATTGTTTCTATATCTCCAGCTTCTATCCCCGACGTGCAATATCTGACAATCCTTGTACGGCCCAGCAAGATTATTGCGCCACGGCAATTGACAGCTGCTTCAAAAATCTTGATGTTGCAAAAGCTTAAACAAGCAAGCGAACTGCATATGAAGGAGTGGTTGTTTCACGATCAAAGCCTTGTCATCCTTCCCGCAAGACTGTGACTTTCAATTGGCTTATGTATGCGTCATCTCACGCTAAAGAACAGGAACATGTGTTTGACAGCTTCGATCTCGGCCGACTTTTGATTTCCAACCCCAGGAACCGAGATGAGGTGGACGGCATGCGACCCGCTACCTTGATGAGCTATCGAAAAGGTGGTTGTGGAGAGGGTTAATTGTAAAGATGACTGGGTATCTGGACTTTCCTTTGTATTCGCCTGACTGTCGTTCTCTCTTTCCATCGCCCAGTGCTGTTGCTGTCATCGCAACCATGGCTTCCAATCCACTATCCAGACTCTTAATTCTTCTCGCCATCACAATATTCTGCGCCATCCCTATCTCCGCACAAACAGCCACAACGGCACCACGAACCCTCTCCAACAGCACCTCCAGCACACGCACAAGCACTTCTCGCTCCAGCGCTTTCACCTCAAACGCACCTCCAGACGTCTACCTCAACGTCCCCGAACTCCATGTCGGCCGCATCGAACTCACCGTCGAAAAACTATCTGCAGACCTCAATCTCAATGCCAAAGTCGCAAACCTGGTGCAATTGAATGCCGGAGTACAAGTTGCCGTGGAAAAAGTGAACATTACCATTGCAGAGGTGGATGCAGAGGTTGAGTTGGTCATCAGACTTGGTAAGCACTTACTTCTGTTCCTTCGAGGTCGTAGACTGTGCTGACATGTCGCTTTAGGTCACCTCGTTGATATCGTGGGTCGTGTCTTCGACTCTTTGGATCTCAACCCTCTCCTCATCTCCACAATTGGCAATGCGACCCAACTTGTCGGCAATGTGGTCGGCGACGTCATCGGCGCAGTAGACGGACTCCTCGGTTCCATCACTCAAGGAGGAAAAACCCTCAACTTTGTCGTCGACAATCTCGGAAACATCGTTCAGGAGGTCGGAGGTGTGAGCAGCATTGTTGGAGACTTTACGAGAAACATGACTCAGACTGGCACGAGCAAGAGTGTTGGGCAGGGCTTGACGCAAAATGAGTACAAGTATTCGCCGTTGAATGCCTTGGTGGATATCGTCTTCAATGAAGCGGGTCAAGTCGTGCAGGCTGTGGTCCAGAAGAAGAACGGTGGAAGCAGCAGCAGTGGAGGTGGCGTCAGATCAAACTCGACAATTTCTGCTGCTCCCATGCAAAAGCACTAGATTTGCTTGAGATAGAGTATGTGGATTCTATTAATACATCAACTGACCAGATGACTCGACCCCAATAGAATCCAATTGTTCGCATCCAAGTGTTGATCATGAAGTTCTGACAAAGGTCAACGCAGGGTTGGGATGCTGGAGGTCGACAGTGACAACGACTTGATCCCTGGCTGGATCTAAGTGGACCAAATCATGCGAAGACTCAAGACAAGTCAAACCATGAGTCTTGCAATCAAAGCATATGTCAAAGTCTCCATTGTTGCAGATTGTATAATGCCAGTTCTCGACAGCTAGCTTTTCACAGTGGTCGCAGTGGATTTTTGGTGAGGGTTGCTGATTGTTCATCGTTGAAACCAAGATGCGTAGATTCTCTGAGCATGCACCAGTGAGAGTGTGCCAGACTTTCTTCACGTCCTCGTCCCATGAATATCCGTCAACTACTAAGAGAACGTTTGGATGCATTCTCATCATGACAACGAGCAGGCGAGCCATCGCTTCGTACGATGGTCTTGTCTCAGAAGCTTTATGTCGATTGTAAAGCTCAACAAGTCCAGGAGGCATAGCATCCACAGGGCCATACGCCACCAGCTGACCAAGCAGATTGGTGAGGATGTGACCAGCTTTGTCATGTGTGATTTTATTAACAGACTTCCCAAGGATAAAACACGATAGGACGGGGATCTCTGGAAAGGTTTGAACAAGGCTGTCGTAAATAGTGGAGAAGAGTTCGGTCTAGAATAGTAACGTCAGATCACCTCAGATGTCATGGATGGTCGAGACTTAGTACTTACTACTCGGGTCTGACGTATACCACAACATGTTATACGTCGAGGAGAAGGTCCGGTACACCAAGACATGAACTTCGTACTGGCTAGGAATGTTCGGTACTCCTCAGTATCCAATGAGGTACGAGGCGCATCCGGTGGTTTCAGGTCAATCGAGCCAGAGAGCCAATCGATGATCTCATTCTTAAGAAGTCTCAATTCCAGCAGAAACACCACTAGTACGAGCGTTCATGCCTTGAGACGAGTCGGTTGAAATGCCTGTATCGAAAGGTTTTGGACGTGCCATAGGTCGGAGACTAGGTTGTGGACGTTGTGAAGGTTGTTTACAGAGAGCGTCTCCAATCAAATCTTTGAGTTCCGTACGATGCAATACTTCTGCAAGATCCAGAGGTGTCCTGCCAGAGTTGTCTCGTGCGTGGAGATTTGCCCGGTTCTGTATTAGTAGCTCTGCCAAATCGACACTGTTTTCCGACACCGCTATATGCAAAGGTGCACAACCATCGTAGTCTCTCGGACTGCGTTCGTCGCTTGTGAGAAAGAACAGTCTGAGGATTTGTTTTTGCAGGTCCAGAAAACCTGGTATCGACTTCATCAACCAGTGAAGTGCTGTCTTGCCATCATCGGGACTTGGCTCGAGCATGTCTAGACTGCCCTCCATCATTCTCCTGAGGATCTCGTTGAATCGTCCTACTAGATCTCAGTATATGGTCGACATGCTGTCAGAACATCGTTACTTACCAAGATATGCCAGCGACCAGCCAGGCAGACGCGTGCCTATTGTTGGGCTTGTTCCTACTAGAGGTGACAGAAGAGGTGACAGAAGCTCGTTCGACCTGCCGAATGCTGCTTCGAAGGAGGTTGCATGGTCATCATATGCCACGCAACCATACTGGCAAGCGACCTCGAGTGCGTTTCTCCCAAAGTCATCCAAAATATCAACATTTGGCTGATGTTTCAAGATTTCCCACACTAGTTCGATTTCACCAAGAGACAATGCTTTGTGCAAGGCCGTCCGACCTTGCTTGTCTTGAGAATCAACAAGAGTCCATTCCAGACTCAATAAGGTTGTCATGGAAAGCAGGGTACGAGATTCATGATAGTGCTTCACGACGCAGTGCATCACCCCGTCGCCTGAATAATTCTTAGTCTCGATCTTCGCACCGTGTTCTAGGAGATTGTGAGCTGCTCGTGTTGATGGCTGGTGACAAATGGCGTAGAAGATCGCGGTCTCTCCTGCATAGTCTCTATGCTCGATGTCGATGTTCTTGTCCAGCAAGAGCTGGAGTGACTTCTCATCATAACTAGCACTCTCGAGAAGTTGCTGAACATAACTTCTACCAGTGTCGTCGGTTGCTGCAATTTCAAAATCAGGTTTGTCGAGAATCAGCTTGGCGACCTCGATCCTAAGCTCTCGTGTGTGACCCGCGGAATCCGTAAGAAGATGCGAAAGCATTGTTTGGCTGTGCTGATCGCACTCGTTGATATCGATATCTGAGCGTTGCAGAAGAGCGCGAATAGATTCAAGTGACGAGAAGCTCTCGAGATGCATGAGTGCGGTACTTCTAGTATTTTCCGTGATAATGGTATCAGGTCTGATAGTAGGAGACTTCAAGAAATGTATGACTACTTTGTGACTTTGATGGATGAGCGCCTCATACAATGCGGTGTGGCCTTTAGAGTTGGTCAAGTGAGGATCCGCTCCAAGCTCCAGAAGAAGCTCGACAGTGTCAAGATGACCCATTGACGCGGCGTACATAAGCGGCGTCGTTCTCTGTCTGTGGGTTCGGCTGTCGATCACCGGTTTGAGATCGACCAAGTTGGCCATCAAACGATGAATGCTGTTCGTAAGACCGAGAAGCGAACACACATGTACAGCTCCCAAGCCGTTCTCAAAATCGGAATCATACACCTCGAAGCCATAGGCCATCTCGAGAAATGCGATTTTGTTGCCGACCTTGAGACGTTTGGTATCCGCAACGTATCTGAGAGCCAGGTCTTCCACAAAGTAAAGCTTGGGCGAGTACGCGCGGAGATGTCTGCCCCACTCACAAGCCGCATACTTGTACAAAGACTTTGATGCCCAATCTGAGTCTGGATCTCCAGGTAGATCATGAAACATGAGAACCCTTAGACAGGTGAAGGCGAGGTTTGCTTGCCCGGATGGGAACCATCGATCACGCGTCTTGTCGAAATAAGCAGACACAGAATCTCTAGTAAAAACCACACAGTTTTGCAGTATAGTAAGCAAGCTCTTGGTGTTTGTAACTGCCTCGATGACACTTACGCTTGGGACAGGCCCTGGGTCTCGACCTTGAATAAGAACTGTAAGAGCATGCTCAAATTCTGTCGTGGTCAAGGGACGCATCGCATAGATGACAATCTCGAGAGCGGCCATGGCAAAAGCTTCATGTGGAGTACCCAAGATCGATTGGTTGATGATCTTCTCGTACGCCTCGTGCGTCTCTGCTTGTGCGTCGACCTTTCCGGAAAGACCCTCTTGGATTGCAGTCACAATCTGAACAGCGTCTAGCTCTTGTGCAAGGTCCAGGGGTGTCCTGTCCAGATTGTCGCGCAAGTCGAGGGCAGCACCAGCCTTGATGAGCATCACTGCGATCTCGGGCTTACAAAGCGCAATGGCTTTATGCAGGGGCGTCTCTAGGTACTCGTTTTGAGGGCTGCAGTTGGTTCTGACCTTTGATAAAAGCGCCTCAAGAGCTCTAGCTCTCAACGCTGTTATATGTGACGGTAATATTGTGATCGATTTGATGATTGTGTGCAAAGCTGTGTTGCCGTCATCGGGACATTTTTCGAGGGGATCTGGGCATTCATTCTTTTGTAGTTTGTCCAGGAGTTTGTCGAATCGCCCTGTATGACGTATTAGTTCGCGACCTAAGATGTTGCCATTGCACTTACCTAAAAAGGTGAGGGACCACGCGGGTAGTGTGTCCAGCTGCGTTTCGAGAATTACCTCGCCAGGGGCCGACATTGTAGTGTTCTCGTCATGGCTGTCCTTCTCCGGACTTGTGACTTGCTGGATGCGCTCTCTGTTCCGAAGTCCAATCGGCTGGACAGGCTCGACCTGGGAGACGTGAAGGTCTTGATCGCTTTGGATTCGACGCAACCCTCGAACATTCGAAACAGAGGTGCGACTGGGGTGATGAATGCGCACGGGAGCAGATTGCCGTGCTTCGGAGATCACATCCGATTGTTCTGGTACGATATCCAGACTAATCTTCAAGACATCAACAGGCGCAAGTAGTGCGAGTATTGCAGTACGCCCATACTGACAAGCAACATCGAACGGAGCTCTTCCAAACTTGTCCAGGGTTTTGACATTTGCTGCCCGCTTAAGAAGCTCCTTGGCCAAATTAGTCTTACCGAGGACCAATGCTAAGTGCAAGGGAGTTCGGCCTCTATCGTCCTGGGAGTTGATGAGGGTAGGCGCATGTTCGATGAGAAAATCAAGATATCGAAGGTCGTGAATATTGTCCATGCCCTTCACAATCCTGTGCAGCAGCCCTTGACCGTACTGGTCTTTGACATCAAGATCTGCCCCGTATTCGACCAGTATCGAGGTCATTTGAAGGCTGTATCGTAGAGTCATAGCGTGGAAGATCGCGCTTTCCCCTTTCTCATCCGTTCGGTTCACATCAGCGCCACTGTCAAGTAGCAAGCGAAGCAACTCAGGACTGAAGATGCGAGCACTGAGGAATCGCATGACGTACGTCCGGCCTCCAAGATCGACCGCATTGATGTCGCAGTCTGGTTGTTGCAGTAGAAGCTGAGTAGCACTGAGTTGGAACTTGGGGCAGCGATCAGCATATGATTTACTGAGCAACCACCACAACGGAGATCTGCCATCATGGTCACAGCGACCGAAGCGAAGATCACCGCGGGCGATTGCCACTCTGAGGATATCGATTGATTCGAGCTGTAGAAGGGATAGCAGAATGGAGATTGCCCCGTCTCCCTCTAGGGTTCTTGGTGTAAGCTTCAGCACAGATGAGCCCAACAGTGTTTCCACTATGGGCAACCGCCTTGATTTGATGGCCTCTTGGAGAGCGGTAAACTTGGCCTCGTGAGTAGCAGTGAACTGGGCGCCGAAATACTCAACCGCATCGGCGTCCGAGCACAACAGGAAATCTACCGTATCGACATGACCCATTTCGCACGCATAAGCAAGCGGTGTGCGGCCAGTGAACGAAACTCTGCTGAGTGCTGTGCGAGGCAGGCGTTTGAGTAGATTGGTGAGACCAAAGATAGAGCAAACATGTACTGGTGCCAGGCCGTCGCTGATGTCAAAACCGTAGGTCATCTCTTCTTGCTGCAGAATGAAAGCGGTCATAGTACCTATCTTGAACCTCTCTTCGTCCTCGAGATACTGCATGGCCATGTCCTCCAACGTCAGACTGGGTGAGCAGGCACGGAGATGTTGGCCCCATGTGCAAGCCGCATATCCGAACAAGGAGCCGGTGGCCCAGTTCCCGGTTCCACCTGTGTCTGTGGGAACAGCCTCTGACATGAGAACTGTCAGGCATGCCAGAGTCATGTTAGCATGTCCCGCCGGGAACCAGCGAGGGTGCTCTCTTTGAAAGTAGCCAGACAAAGAAGGATGGAAGACACTGACAACGGATGTCTGCTGGACGACCAACAACCCTCCGGTAGCTTCTCTCACATCGGTGATGGTCGGATAAGTTATTGGGTGAGGGCGACGACAACGAAGAACATGACGAACGGCTATCATGAACTCGTACTCCTTGAGTTGCCGGATCGCATGTCTGACAACATCATATGCAGCCATGGCTAGGTCCTCATATCCACTGTCCTTTGTGGTGTGATTCATTATTCGTTCGAATGCTTCGTCAATCAGTTGTGACTGACGTTGATCGTCATTTGGGTTGTTTCTCTCGATCTCCGCTATCCTGGAATTCATAGCTCGACTGAGGCTACGCCTGCGATGGTCAACCAAGTACAATGCATCGATGTCTACCGTGACCTGTTCGTTCGAAGATATGGTCAAGGGATGTGAAGAAGTGATGAGCAAGCTCAGATTTTGAACCCAGGAGAGGTCTTTGAGAAGCGACTGCAACACCTCGGAGTTTTCTGTAGAGTCGTTGATGACCAAAAATACTCTAGGTGTCACATACATCATCTTGAAGAGAAGATCTACCAGAATATTTTCAGTGTACCCTTTGCTAGGACCGGATTCCTTCTTATTATGGTAAAACTCCACGATCTGGTTCGGTATGGCTTCAGGTTGTGTCTGGTATATGAGCTGTTTGATTAGGTCAGCGGTGATGTGTTCCAAGCTGAAATTACCCTTGTATCCGTTGGGCAGGAAGGCTCGAATGACCGGGGTATCAGAAGAAAACCTCGATGTAAGGTCCTTGGTAATAGCGGATGAGAAAGCCGTCTAGAGTTGGTTAGTCAGGTGCGCGCATTGATGAGCAGCCGATTATGTTGGCTTACCTTCCGGGCATGAGTCCTAGCACAACACACCAACCCTCCTGGCGAGGTCCCAAGACACCACGACGTGTATTCTAGACTTTCTTGGAAGGCATATACCACAGTAGAATCAAGTTCGCTTATGGGCTGCCCCAAAAGTTGATCTTCATCTTGAGTCCATCCAACGATATCATCGAAGCATTGTACAATAGCATTCTTGATTAGAGCTTGTTCGTCGGGCACAGGATCCTCTGTCGAGTCCCGCGATGAGAAAACAGACAGCGCCGAGCTGTCGGAAGTGCGATTGCTCATGCTTCGAGGCACTGCTCTGGAGCTTGCAAGGCTCGTTGAATCCTCGTCGTCAAGCCCTCGTGGTATCGAGAAAGTGGCAATTCGCTCCAGATGATGAGCAAGATGGGTAGGGAATTGAGGGATGCTTGCGGTATCCTCCAGGCATATTGGACATTTTTGACGGGTATCGTCTGCAGTCGACTGCGCGATGCTCGCAAAATCCTTGATCTGGGCATCCGTGACGTTTTCCGTGCCCTTGCTCGCGCAAGTGGTGTTCGAAAGCATGTTGATTCGGGAAATGGGTAGAAGGATGGAATCGGCATACCCATACTCTCCTGTGCTGAGACTCTTCGTGCTCTAACCACTCGCGCCGAGAGCCATACAGTCGATCAGCCGAGGAACAATTGATTTGGGTACACGAGTATGGTTGGAGGTCCTGGAGTATATGTTTCCTAACTTGTTGTCAGTAACAAGCGTGGTACCTGTAGAGATCACCAACCTCCAAGCGCGACCCTGTCCATGAGTCGAGGGACAAAGCACGAAACAATACGGGCAAACAAAATCTTGGCCGTTTAGAGCCGCGAGTGGCGGAGGCGGCAAGTCAGCGGGTTTCCCCTCGAGGTCACGAGCCGTAGTCGCGGACGAGATGACGGATTGCGTTTCGAGCGAGGTCAAGTCCAGCTTTGGGTCGAAGAAAGTGGCCTCCGTTGTCGTGAAGATAGTTTTCCCGTTATGACTTTGGGACGCCTGCGTGTTGGTGACAGGCTTGAGCGTTGGGTGCGCCCTCACAGGTTCTTGTTGAGACTCGAAGGGAACGGCATCGATGATGACAGGTTCGGCTACTTCAGTTATGGTGAGCTTCTGAGCGTGCTTTTGCCAATATCGGAACTGTCTGCGGCGTGCTGTGTTAGATTCGGCAAACCGTCGAACAAGAACTTCATCATGTTCAGTCAAGGGTGAGATGTTTGACCGAAGGCTACTAAACAGCTCGGATATATGATACCTGTCCAAGGTGGCGAAACAGTCACCGAATATGTCGAGGCCAGAGGACGTGTCGATCTCTTTGTAGTGGATCGCTCTGGCCGGCTTTGAGGTCGAGTTTCGAATTCTGAAGGATAACTTGTACAAATCCTTAATCAGGTCTTGTATCCTTTGTGTGAGATGCGGCAAACCATCTAGGGGCTGGCTGATGGAGTCTAGCCCATCATCTGATGGTAGTGAGATATCGTCAGGGAGGTCATCGTCGTCGGCCGTATCGGCTCCCAAGAAGACTTCGGAAGAATCATCGCGAAGGAGATCAGATGCTGTCACTCCATAAGATGATGAGATTGATGGAGATACAATGATCGCTCACATACTGAGGTCAAGTGTGTTTTGCAGTCCTTCAAGGAGAGAAAGAACAGTCGAGCGCATCACGTCGGCGTCGCGCAGTCGCCAGTCGAGAGCGCTATGACCCTTGGCCAAAGCTCCGAGGTTTCCTGTCCAGATCCTGAACCTGCCAAACTCTTCCCGCACGTTGTCGCAAGAAGCTCTATCCAAGGAGCCATCTTGTTCTATCGCATGGCAGAGGACAGCAAAGCCGCGCATGCAAGACTCGGTCACTGCTCTGAGAGTCGCCATGTCGTTGGGACGTCTTTGCTTCGGTAAGCTTGGTAAGCGCCCACAAAGCCGTCAAGTCTGCTGCGATGTGGCCTATACCACAGTCTGAGAGGCCTCGGATTCGAGCTTGCTTGCGAAAGATCATGTGTCATCCCTCCTGCCCAGCCAGATAGATTGCAGTGCCGCTGCACTCCAGCCACATAGGCGACCTGCAGGTTTGATTGGCCGACTTGATCCTCCTCAGCCTTGCGGGCGGTCAGCAGTCGGGCACTCGACACGCGCTCCAGATCAATACCCAGCTCTACATTCAACCTGTGAGCAGCCATGTCTGGTATTGAGATTGCCGGTCTTGTGCTAGCTGTGATCCCGCTCTTCATCTCGGCGCTTGAGCACTACGAGGACGGTCTTCGGCCTTTTCGAGTTTTGAAGCTAGTCGTCTATCAGCAGGAGCTGGCGCAGTACCGGACGAAGCTGACGACCGAGTATGGCCTATACAACAACTCTCTCGAAGAGCTCCTTGTCGATGTCGTGCCTCAGCAGGAGCTACGCAGCATGATCGATCAGGGTTATGGCCCACACTGGAAGAATCCTGCACTCGAAGACAAGCTGAGGAAACGGCTGGGGAGTGTCTACTCGGTTTACTTCGATGTCATGAAGCAAATGCAGGAGATCATGGCAAGGATAGCATCTCTTTTGGACATCCAGAGGCAGGGAAACGTGCGTCAAGCGGGTCGCTCCCTATGTCCTCGGCTAACCGACTCCATAGATTNNACCGGTCCTCAGCTCGAACACCTTCTGGTCGCGCATCCACCGAAGCACAGTCTGTCCCAAGCTACGCCCCATTCTAGAGTCTACGAGTTCAAGAAGAAGCTGAAGTTTGGCTTCAAGAGCGGACAAATCCAACCTTTACTTCAAGAGCTGGGTCGATACAACAACGCGCTCTATCGCTTCACCGATAGTAGCAGACGTCTGGAAGGCCTGCGACCAACTGCGTCCAAGGCCACGTTCACAGCACCCATTCATCACGTTCGCGAATGCGCCGAGAGACTGCACCGATGCCTTGTTGGAGTGTGGGCATGCTCCGCCCACACCAACCATGTTATTGACTTGCAGCTCGAATCTCGCATCTACAAGTCTGGCATGCCCGAAGCTACCGAAGAGCGCGTTCTGTTTTCCATTGCCTTTCTGGATAGTAGGCTACTCGATCGTTGGCATTGTCTGGAAATCTATGTCCTTACAGCAGATCCGCCAATATCACAGAAACCGACAGGCAAAGTCAACTTTGCTCCATCGACCCCTACACTCTCATTTGATCCCTCAACATTGCCGCTGATCCATTGCCTCTGTACATCTGTGGCATTCCCACAAGGTCAGCCTCATCGCACGCTTTGCCTTGATCACGATCAAAGGCTGCTCGGAGACTATCCAGTACCTCAACACAACACTGCAGGACAGCATGATCGAAATGGCTCAACGACCAGCCTCAAACAAGTCCTATCAGGCTCTTCCGCCTCTGTGCGATCGAGACCATTCAGCAGTAAGCAGGCTTATCTTCTCGGCTTGACTGTCGCATCTTCATTCCTCCAACTACGAGCTACTCCCTGGTTATGTGGTTCATGGCGTGCACAGAATGTATTGTTCATCAGCGAGACCACGACCAAATCCATCGACTTTGACAAACCATACATTCGACAGACTTACCCAAGCTGTCACCAGCAACAAGCCTCGTCTCAAGCAACTGTGGGAGCTGATGATGCTGATGACAACTGCTCATTCCTCAATCTCGGCATCATGCTGCTCGAGATATTCTTCCGAGAGCCCATCGACTCGCGACGAGTCTCAGCTGATTCCGGACCAAATCAGAGTTTCTCAGATCTACAGACTGTGCGACGATGGGTCCAGCAAGACAAGGAAGAAATGCCGATAGGCTTCTACAAGGCCGTCTCGTTTTGCATCGGCTGTTTTGCCAGTACCAACGTTGATCTTCAAGACAACGCTTTCAGGCAGACGGTCGTCGATCAGGTTATTGTGCCTTTGAAAGAAGAGCTCAAGATGTGGAATGCCTAGGATTGATCACTCCGCTGCTTTACTTCAATCAAGCGGTGTCTTGCCTACGACATCTGTCTAGGGAATCCTTGATCTCGAAACTGTCTTTCTTCGATCTCTACGATCAACGACCCGTGTCCCGAGGTCAAGGTTCTATCGATCCGTCGGGTCCCAGTCGTACCATCTGGCATAATGTATGGAAGCGGGAAAATGAACCACACCAGTTTCTCATATCGCAGTCTCCGTGCGACGAAAAAGTTACTGGTTGGCAGAGTGCGATGATGTTCCTTGTAAAACTGAAGAATAGCGTTGACAGTCTAGTCCGTAGAGTACATATTCGGGTCCACAGGATCGAGGTTTGTGATTGCTGTTGAAGAGGTTTAATGACAGAAGTAGTTGGACAAACGTGTCGAGAATCCTTTCGCCAACTGCCGTGATGAAGTGTTTCATGCCAGATTTTGAAGTTACCGCTGCGAACACAGGTCCAATACAGGCATGTATGCTCAGTGGATGATGGAAGAGAGGATGCCAAAAAGAGCAATGGCGATTGGTCCCCATGAAGTCTATCAAGAGCGGCAAGAAATTGGTAGAACACAAGTTGTGGTGTCTGCTGTCTAGCAAGCAATAAGCAAGGAAAATGTGTTCTCAGCATAGAAATCTCTATTTTCAAAGGATATCTACGAGCACTCCGAGTAGCAAAGGATAAGCATCGTTCTTCGGGGGCACCGAAATGAGCTCTTCCTTGCCATTTGTTACCGACACCCCCATATCTTGCAGAAGCTCCGGCATCAGAGTGACAGAGTCGATATTGGCAAAAAGCTCTTTTGTCATATCACAAGGGCAGGCCATGTGGTAGCGTACTCCATAGCCCATCAGGAGTACTGTGGTCTTCATGACTGGCAATGATAGCTTGATGGGTGCATCGGGCATGAGTTCTGTTAGCATCGTTCGAAAGTCCGGAACGTCCCTAAAACTGTTAGAACGACTCCAAGTAGTGTTGTCAGCTGCTTACCACATCCCACGCGTGATGGGATATGCTTTAAGACCAGCGTAGGAGATCTTGATCTTCCATGAGCTGAGCTGATCGATATCCGTATCGTCATATCGTCGTGGCAGTTCATCAAACTGAGGAAATCCTAAGCTAGTCCACGAAGATTGGGCAGCATCTGCCAGATCAAGTGTTAGATGTCGTGGTTTCACGATCGCGTTGTCGAAATCGTCTCGCCATTGTATCGCATCATTGCGAAAGCCTGAGAGCGAATGTAGAGGTCGGTAGATCACATCAGCATCAGGGCCTAGCGGAGCATCAAGATTTTCCAGATGCAGATCTCCTAGGGCGCACGGCATGTTGACACTAAGCATGTTTAGAGAGTCGCTCGCAAGATCGATTAAGCGCTAACGGAACTGACCCCTGTCGATGCTCCCATTGCGTCGTCGCAGAATCCAGAATCTGAATCTGTCGGTGGAGGTCATTGGGGGCAAGCTTTTTGAGATGGTCATCGCGCGTCTTGCAGAGCGTCCGGTAATACAGTCCATCCGAACCCAGTACAATTTCATCGAGCTTGATACTTGATCCTTCAGACTTGCTATCTTTCCAAACCCTTTTAAGGTTCTGATATTCTTCTTCCGCGAGTACCTTCGTCTTCAAATACGCAGCCTCTTGAGTTGTACGTTCTTCTGCGTTGATCTTGCTATCCTATAATCTGTCAGATATCGTCCCACACAGACCGTGCGATAGCTTTGTGACGAACATCTTTGACCATCGAAACATAACTATAGAATGTTAGTGACATACGAGATGTGATTCGGCTACATTGATACCTGCGAAGCCAAGCAAAGAAGTCACCTGAATCGAGACGAAAGCTGAGAGAGCTGGGACACTGGATGGCATTTGCCAATCGATATAATTGCTGATTGACGTACTCAGGTACGGTTCCGATCGGTATGCCTCTTTGGTCAGGCGAACCCAGAAATACAGCCTGTCTGGTACGTTCAAGATCGTTCTCGACGGTCATCCGAGAGCGCAATGCCAGAGTATATGCTTTGAGAGTGAGCGATGGTTGATATCGTTTGAACAAGCCACCTCTTGCAAGAGCATCTTTTCCTCGAGATGATCCTAGGCGAATGATTCCGCAACGAGTTGCTGCATCTAGAACTGACATGTTAGCGTACAGAATTTTGTGTATGCTTCTTGAGATTGGTAACTAGAAGGAGTTGGAATTTGATGCTGGGCCAAGAGACCTTTATCATGTTTTCTAACCGTGGATGTTATTACCAGAAGGATTCAGACTAGCATATGATTGCCCATAGCGTCATGTTAAGCGACCTAAGATCAGCTGAAAAGTAAGTTCCCACAACGGTAAGAGCTGACATACTAATTCAGAAACGGCAATACACGATCGGGGTCCTATTACGGATATAATAGGCTTGCATGCTGCAGAACACGACTGTACGTTACTGCTTCTACTTATAAAGAATTTGAACATGTGGGCTAGATCGGAACTCAACGCATGATGGCTACGTGATCTTAGCGATCGCAGAAGTGAGCGAGGTACAATGGGAACGACTGGCATTGGAATAAAAACATCAGACTACACTAAGGAAGTCGCGAGTTGAATCGCGTGACTTGTCTGAGAGACATGCAAATTGATTATATAGGCTGTTGAACCGTAGAGAGGCAGTGATCATCGCCCGGAACAAAGGAAACAACTCGGATTTGCTTCAATCAGCCAGTCTTCTGTCCAAGAACACCGAGAAGGACAGGGAAAGTGTTGTCCGAAGCCGGAATCTCAAAAGTATGAGTATCATCATTCGTCTTGACGGAGTTGAAGTCGGTAGTTGTGTTGTTGGTCACATCTCCACTTCCTCCAATATCCATACCGAAGAGACGGACGGACCCGTTGTGAGTCTGAGCCTTGCTGTAAGAATCCTTGACACTGTCGTAGAGAGTCTTCGGCATGGAAACCTTCAATGACACTTTATAGCCAACGAGGATACTGGCAACCCGGAACATCGGTTCGAGAAGTTCTGGTGGAGCACGTTCAACGAGATCGGGATATGCTTTTTGATCTCTGGAATGTCCCTACCAGGAAAATCAGCCCCTGGAAGATATGGAGTTGCACAGAAACATACCAGCTGGAGTCAGGAGCGATGGTAAAGACGGCAGCATTCTGTGCGACCAGCGAGCATGAGATCTCATCGCTGACGTGAGAAGTATCAATCTTCTCGCTCTTTTTCTCGTCATTGAAAGTGTACTCTGCCGAGAAGAACCACCATCGATTAACGTTGACACTAGCATCGATCTTGGAGAATCCGGTCTTCTTCCAATCTTGATCTTCTGAAGACTTGTTAGTAAACTCAAGACTCCAGTTCTTCTTCTTGGGATCTCCAGCTGTGTTGATCCAGTTCTGAATCGTGTTCTTGTAACTCGATTGAAGATTGTACTGAGGTCGGAACCCCTTGTTCTTCAGTGCTTTCTCGTCATCCGACGATGTCGCAGCAGGATCAGTGGACACTGGCATGTTCGCGCTTTGTCTTCATCAGCAAAAAGTCCTGAACAGAGAAGGTAAACCTTACCCGGTGAGGCCGCTGGAAAACTGCGCACTCTGGAGTCTGGTCCTGTCAGTGGCCTGTTGAGCTGCATTATCGCCTTGATAAGCTCTCAAGGCATCTAAATAAACAGTATTGGCCCCATCCAATGCCTTCTGCGCATTGGACAAAGCTGGGTAGTTTTTGATCGCCCATAGCGAAAGAGCATCTTCGTCCACAGATTCAGTGTGCTTTACGCGCTTGTACTGAGTAGCAGCTTTGTCGTAGACTGTCCAATAGTCTGTCTGGAGGTCGTCTGCGGATTTCTTCGCCTTGTCCACTCTTTGCTTGACACCGGCATCATTGTTGGTTTCCTGACGCATGTTAGTGCTCCTCATTCCAGTTGCGCGATGCAAGAGTGCTCACGAGCAGAATATAATCAAGGTACTTTTCCAAACGTCGGATGTAGGAGGCTGTTCCTGGAGCATAGAGAGGAGAAGTAAGAGGAAGGAGACTGTCAGCAGTATTGAAGGTGGCGAAGTTCGTAATCTCATCGTGAACGAAGGTACCAGCAGGGAGCGCTTGAGAGTTGAAAGGAGGCACATAGACCTTGAAATCATCTCCCACTCCCTGGCCTTGAGTGAGGGTATCTCCAAGCTTGATAGTGAAATTCTTCCATAGATCAGTGTCAGAATTAGGAGCGATCTTGGGGGGTTCTGGTGCGGCCATGATTGCAAGAGATTTTATGAGTGTGGTAGAGTGATAGAAGGAGAATGCTGGATGGGAACTCTGATTGTCAAACACCGTCGTGGACAGCTTTTATATATTAGAGACTCACCTCAAGTTTACAGTGGTAAGGTGTGCGCTGCAAACTCTTTGCCTCCTTTTGGACAATGGTGCGATCCAAGATGTGCCCTAAATAACGTGATTCGATATTGTGCATGAGCTGAACTGACACTACATTGATCATCGTCAATATTCAAAGACGTTTATCTGTAGCAGAAGTGGAACCATGCCAGTGGTAGGTAGGTAACCGACGTAGTGGTTGTAGAGCAGAAGTAACCTCATGCACCTCTCACTAGTCCTCATGCCAGGCAAGAAGGAGGTTGCAGATCCTGTACCGCTTCTTTTACATGTGGTGGTGCGAAGGATCATGTGAATCAGAGTACGGGGGACGAGGCACACATCAAGCTCTCCTGCACCTCAATACGAGATCGGTGTACAGCTGAGACGTACATCTTCGAAAGGGGTTGCAAGGACTCCAGGCCCAATTAGGAATCAGGACTATGGCCATGCACTCGCCTACTTTCAGCTCCCACAATCAGGAAATGAACCAACTGAAGAAAGGCTGATGTCAATGGAAACGTTGAAAGTAAAAGCGCGCATTTATTTGCTCTTGAATACGCGGCCATATGAACTATCGGTAAATCAACTTACCCAAATGGTATACAAAGCTACGACCAAGGTAGAACAGTACTCCTGGATATATGTGA